CCCCAGCACGACCACCCCCCAGCACGACCACTCCCCAGCACGACCCCACCCCAGCACGACCCCACCCTAGCACGACCACACCCCAGCACGACCACACCCCAGCACGACCCCACCCCAGCATGACCACACCCCAGCACGACCCCACCCCAGCAAGACCACACCCCAGCACGACCACACCCCAGCACGACCTTACCACAGCACGACCCCACCCCAGCACGACCACGCCCCAGCACGACCACGCCCCAGCACGACCACGCCCCAGCACGACCACGCCCCAGCACGACCACGCCCCAGCACGACCACCCCCCAGCACGACCACCCCCCCAGCACGACCACACCCCAGCACGACCACCCCCCAGCACGACCACACCCCAGCACGACCACTCCCCAGCACGACCACACCGCCTTGGTTGAGTGGTTGCCTGTCGTCGTGGAATGTTTCGTGGGGTGTCTCGTGGAATGTTTCGCGGGGTGTCTCGTGAAATGTTTCGTGAGGTGTCTCGTGGAATGTTTCGTGAGGTGTCTCGTGGGCTGTTTCGTGAGGTGTCTCGTGGGATGTTTCGTGAGGTGTTGCCCAGTTGGGTATCATGAAAACGTGTCCATGCTCCACATGTCTATATCCCTTTCCGGGTTCGTGGGTCCATCATGTTTCTGCCGTGTGCGCCCAGAAGCTCTGCCAAAACGACCACCGCGACGATCCGCACGGCCGATACAGGAACACGGCAGAACACACGGGGCACACAGAGGCACGGCAGAACACAGAAGCACGGCAGAACAGGAGCACGGCAGAACATACAGGAGCACAGCAAAACACACCCCGCACGCACGCCGACACGCGCGCCACGGCATACTTGCGCGGCATAACAACAACAGAGCATTTTCCACATGCTTGGTGTACTAAAGCGACGCTTCCCGTTCTTGTCCGGTCAGGTTCCCAAAACGAGCGTTTCGCTCGAGACATCCTCACAACATCGTGAAGTTGGGGGTCGTATCGTAAGACGTCGTTTGCTAAAAATGGGCGTTTCGCCTGGGACATCCTCAAACAATCGGGATGTCGAAATCGACGTCCTAATTCTCGGTTCCTTGAAAATGGGCGTCTCGCCCGAGACATCCTCGATAAACTGGGATGCCGACAAGGCATCTTTTCGGAGCGATCTCGGATGACCCCCAAGATGGCCCAAGAAGCGAACATACTGAAAAACCCATTTGTTTTTAACATTTTCGTTGAAAAAGCAGTATTTCACTCGAGACATCGCTTACGAAATGATTTCGAACGGGCCAAAACGAGCGTTTCGCCTGAGACGTCCTCGCCAAACCGTGAAGTTGGGGGTCGTGTCTTAAGACGTCTTATATTACAAATGAGCGTTTCGCCTGAGACATCCTCAAGCAATCTGGATATTGAAATCGCTGGCCTAATTTACGGAACTTCAAAAACGGCCGTTTCGCCTGAGACATCCTCGGAAACATGGGATGTCGAAAGAGCTGCTATGAGACATATTTTCGTGGTGTTATTGTGTAACCTTGTATATGATACTTGGTCCATGTATATGATACTGGTGGTCCTTGTATATGATACTTCCTTTATGTTAAGCTCTTGTATATGATCGCCCTTGTCTATGACATTCCTTGTATATGATGTCTCTTGGCAGGGCTCTTGGAGGCCTCTTGGGGCGTGTTGGAGGCCTTTTGGGCCGTCTTGAGGCCATGTTGGGCCGCCTTGGAGCGATTCTGGGCTATCTTGGTGGCCTGGGTGGGCTTCCTGGGCCGTCATTGAAGCCCTGGACAATCCCAGAGATACGCTATGGCCGCCCAGGGACCCCCGGGAGTAGGGGCGGTGCAGTCGCCTATATGCGAGACGGCGGGTGGGCGGCCCCTTAGTTGTATATGACCTTGTTTGTTTCTGGCCTTCGTTGTATATGATCTTCCTCGTGTACGTTGGTCCTTGTATATGATACGTCCTCTATATTAAGTTCTTGTATATGATCGTATTGTGAGGCTCTGTTGGGCAGTGTGAGGGCCGTCTGCTCCTCACGTTCCTCTATCTCCTTCGCCCCCTCCTACTCGAACACATCAGATAAGTAAGCGTTTCGCTCGAGACATCCCCCTTGCAAATGCTTTTGAGGAGGTCTTCTAAAACGTACCAGAGCCTCTTCCTCCTGTGTGTGTGCGCGTGTGTGTGTGTGTGTGTGCCTTCGAACGGGCCTTCGAACACATCAGATAAGTGAGGGATAGACGGACGACGCTGGAGGCGTACAGAGAAGTGAGGAGGATAATCAGGACTCTCCTTGTGGACGTTCGGGGAGCGCGTGTCCGTAGGTATCCCCTGTGGACGTTCGGAGAGCTCGCCTACATTACATTTTATCGTGATGATGCTGCACGTTCTTGCGCAGCTCTGTCCTTTCACGCGCTTCCCGTTCATGTCAGGAAAGGTTCTGTTTCTGATGATTATCGAGGTCGAGGTGGGCCGGCGGATTAAATTTCTACACGCTTCGCGTAACCCCACCATTCGTACGGCGGGCGGTGGCTGAAATAACCCTCCCCACGTGTACCACTTGGGCACCCACTTTGTTCCCCCTGGGACACCTACTTTGGACGGCCGGGGGTGGTGGCCATAGGCCCACCCCACGCGCTCCACCTGACTCCGACGCGTCGCACCTCGTGTGCTTCCCCCCCGACGACGCTGCTCTGCAGCTGGGGCCTTGCGCTCCCCAGCATGGTCAGGCGCCCTGTTCCCCCCGCGACCGAGGTCCCACCGCTTCGCGCTGTGTGATCACAGTGGCCAAGGTCTCGCACTTACCATGGCGTCGCCTCCCCCTCCTCCTTGCATTCACTTGATTTTGCGGCTATCGGCTGCGTCTCCTCCTCCCCCCTCTCCTCCTCTTGCGGTTTCGGCCACACACGATTTCCCCCCTACCGAGGCTCCTGGAGCACTTGGGTCTATGCACCACCTGGCGGCTCTCTCGCAGAGCTCCGAGGTGAGGACGGACCTCGCTGCCGCCTAGTGTTGTTCTCACAACTCGGGCCTCTGCCTGCCCCGGGGGCCAGACCTGGGGTGAGTGCGGCACGGCAAGTGGTACACCCTTTGCTCGACTGTCGACGTTCCCCCTTCTGGTCCACCACGGCCCCCGATTGACGCACGCCGCTTGGTTCCCCCGTCCACCGTGATGGATAAGCTGCCTGCGTTGTTCGCCTACGACGTGGTCCAACTTTGGGCGGGAGCCACCATCGTGCTCCTGATACTGCGCAAGTGGTTCATCCTTTGACAGTACTCATGCTCAACTACGGGTTGGACCATGGTGTTAGGCCACGCCTGCTGCCGTTCACCCGACACTCCGGGTCAGGCAGTCCAGGTTCGGGTTCAGCGGCTGCATCGACGTCAGCGCATTGGTCGATGGCTCACGTCGGATCGCGCCCAGGAGTCCAAGTGAGTGAGGCTTTCCCGGCCACCCCTCTTCTGCCCGCGCTCTCCCCGCTCTGTCGCTTCGTTGTGGTGAGCGGTGCGGCCCCACGTGCCCACTGTCCCGCCATTTGGCTGGTCGGCCCTAGCCTACGCTCTCTGGGCTGTTCGGTTTGAGCTGGCGCCCCTGCGTCTTCTCTCCGTCTGCTCCAGTCTGGTGCTTGCGTCTCCGTCTCGGGTCGCTCGCATCTTAATGGGGGGCATTTTGCCTCTTGCAGGTGCACCTGCTGCGGCGGCCTAGGCGCCTTCGTAACTAATTATCTCGCGTGTGCCCCAGACGTGCTTGCCCCGCTACCTGGACTCTTCGTTGGAACCGCCAATCAATCTTTTTTTTGTAAAAAATAATATAAAAAATAACAATAT